GCTCACACCATCCCACAACTCCATATATTTTAAAACAAACAATCCACAATCATACCTGCACAATTGAATGTAGTTATTACACACATTACATACAACATTTTGCAAACAAAATTTCAACTATAATAACATACTAACATGTTTGGTTGAATTGGCAAGTCCTCCTTTGTAACCTTAAGTTCTCCAGTGGTCCTCGATGACTTTGTTTCCAACAGTGACAATAGATGTTCAAAACATTGCAACTGTTCACAATATTACATTATTCGCCAAATAAACATAGCTCTGAATTAACTATATTACCTACGTAAACAACTTAAAACAAATATTTACCATAGCTCTATCAATTGGTTTTCGTGATCTATTATCATGGCCCAATGAATCTAATATAAACAGTTCTCCATCCTTACATTTCAGCACATAACACCACCAATGACCATTGTATACAGTGGGAGCAAAAATCTGAAATAGAAAAAACTCTGGTTAATTGAATTTTATCTTGACAAAAATATAAATTTTAGGCAAAGTATAAATACTCACAAGTTCACAACTCAATAACTGCTGCAATGGAATAATTGTATTTGGATAGAAAAGTGAGAAGTCTTTCAATGTCCACGTCGATGTTTTCCCTTTGTGAATATACATTTGTTCAATCACTTGTGTCTATCAAAAGGCACAAAAATAAATGACAATCAATGATAATATACCTATGTGCAACTTAACTTTTTAAATGCACAATAAACATACCGCAAACAAAGGATTGAAACAAAAACGTCGAATGCTGCCACCAGTGACATTCATTTGGTCATACATCGTTACACTACTTGCAAACAACATCACCTAACAACCCATATGATATTAATAAATATAATTTTTAAAAATATATTGAATCACACTTTTTCATTAAATAAACAAATTTACCATATTGTCAATATGACCCCTTAGCTTTAACGTCTGCAAGTTCTGCATAGTCAATATCTGCCCATGCACTTCCACTACAACACTGAAATACAATAATGGATTACATTGCATTTTATACTAATTAAATTGAATGAATGTAATAAATTTGATTATATACTAACCGGTTTGGATTATCAAGGTTGGTGGTGCAAAACTTATACAATTGATACATGTCATCATCCTCACCAATCCCCTTCGCCTTTATCGATGACTTATTCATGTGAATCCCGATTTGTTCTTTCAAAATTTTAACTTCACGTTCAAGTTGAATGATCCTTTTTTTATTTTCTTCTGTTTTAGATCTCCATATGCGCTGGTCTGATAAAAGTTGTTGCAAGTCACATGACGCACCACTGGAGGAAGGTATGTCCGTATTCTCATTTTGTGAATGCGTCAAAGCTTCTTGCACAACTTTCATTGTCTAATCATCCACAGACAGTGCCCAATCCCATACAATCTAACATATAAAGGAAAACTTTATATGTTAGGAACCTAATATAATAAGTCCACATTTTTAAGAAAAATTTATATATGTTGTACACAAAATTTCTTACATTGTTTGAGATGAATGCACGTTCTATTTTGGATTTTTGAATGTTCACTTTAGGCCATTCAACAAAACGCGGAAAACAAATCTTTCGTGGTGGATCAGTAGGCAAAGACAGGTGCTCCACTGCCCAGATCTATTACATAATACAATGTCATCAGTCACAATAATTTCATACCAACTAATAAATCAATCATTTGTAAAAAAGTTACCTGTAAGACAGCCACACAACCAGCAACATACAATTGAGAAGCATTTTTTTGCTCGTTTAACTTTGTACTAGCACGATGCAAACTATTAACTAATAAACCGTGCACAACATTTCCCCAATTATAATTATCTAATGCCTCTAAATCATCTAATAAACTAAAAGGAACACTATGAATAGTGCGGGATGTGCGAGGAAAGTAAAAAATCGCCCACCCAAGTAAGATATAAAGCCTACAAAAGTCAACTACATATTTAACATGCTTAATTTTTTTCCTTTCAACTTCCTAACTATATTTGTTACTGTTATTGGTTCTTCTTCATCGAATAAATCTTTTACTAAACATGAACCACTATCTTCTAAAACAACTACCTCCCCCCTTATATGTAAACCTAACGAAAAACAAACATCTAAAAGGGTGAATGGGACAAGATATTGTTTTATTCTAAAACAATGATCACTAACTGATCATCGACTAACTAGTTCTCTTATAATATTGCTTGATATTTGCAATGACTCTTTTATTTGAAGAAGCCATTTAAACGGAGTTTGTTCAATAGTTGCTCGTTGGTGTTTGGTCAACTTTGAATTTATATCAGCTATATACTCTGTCTCAATCTTGTGTCTTAATCTTATCTGCACATATAACATGTATAACATATATAACATACATAACATATAACAAATTGAATATTTAGTAAATCACTTTTCATAAAAAAACTATAATTAACATGCACATACCTTTTTCTCGTCACGACGGTCTCTTTTTGCAGACATTTTTTTCCAAACTAATCCTGTTACAAATTATTAAAATTGTAACTTACAATGACAAAATAGTAAAAAAAAAAAAATTAAGTCCAACCATGTTACACATAATTTTGGTCAAATTGTGAATTATGCAAACATGGGTGTAAATCTTGTGCATATTATACAAAATGTTTGTCATGCAAATACAATTCTTCATTGTAGCATTTCATCAAACACTTGTTGGACATTAATATAGCATCACAACTCAATTAACCCTAAACCCTACATAATACTTTCATTACAAACCCAATCAAAGATAAACAGAAAACAAAGCAAGAATGCGCAAATATAATTCTTCATTATAGAATTTCATCAAACACTTGTTCGACATTAATATAGCATCACAACTCAATTAACCCTAAACCGTGAAAAACACTTTCATTACAAACCCAATCAAAGATAAACAGAAAAGAAAATAACAATGGAAACCCAATCAAAAATACACACAAAATCAAGCAAATGTTGTTAAACGAACACTTACCTCAGGTTGCTCAAGCGACAGACAGTGATGTTCAGCTCCAACGACACGGAGGAAGACAAGCGAAAGGAAGTCGAGCGCTGTGAAGAGCGAGACGGAGAAGACAAGCGAAAATTTACCCTAAGTCGAGCGAGTTCGAGCGAGAATGTGTCAAACGAAAAATAATGTACCTTCTTTAAACATATATTTCACTTTTTATCATAACATCCCCATTTTTACAATATTACATCTCTTATCCCTACAATTTTACTAATCAAACTCTTCTTTTTAATTAATTTATTTTTGGCCCAGTTGTCGAACAAATGTTTTTTTTTGTTGTTGTCAAAGTATCGTTTTCGATATATTTAAGGCCTCTAAAATTTGGTTCAATTGTTCTTTTGGTCCCACAATTGTAAATTGGATTTTTAGTTTCCAGAACCAGAATTCACCCTTTTTTTCTCCTCTTCCTTGCGCTGGTGGCTTTGCTCTCATTCATTCTTCTGAGCCCCCTCCCGCTTCACACAATCACCCAACCTTCACTCACCTTTCATCTCATTTTCTTCCCCTTCCCTTATCTTCTCCCAGCAGCACCGCATCTTCACCTTCTAAATCGCCTCCCGGTCCCTCCTCCATTCACCCTAGCTCACCACCATCACTTCGCCCAACACCCTCATCTCCCGCGGCTAGGCCCCCTCATCCACCGCTTCCAGGTTAACCCGCACCTCACTCGCCATCCTAATCATTTTCCCAGCCTCCTGGAACCATTCCCACGACCCAACCACCGCCCCACTACCTTCATTCTCACCCACATTCCCAACAACCCATCCGCACTAAATCCTAGCTTCCTCCCTCAGCTCCGGTCACCACCATACCCACAAGCAGTACCGCAGCGAACCTCCGCTCTCTCTCCCATCACGGCGCACTATTTCCAGCCTCACCCCCTCTCCTTCTCACACTCTAATCCCTAGCCACCGCAGAGACTCCAATCGCGCCGCCCACACTAGCCAAAACTTCACCCGTCGCGCCAAAACCTCTCGCCCTGAGCCAATCCAGCCCCAACCGCGGAGCCCTGGCCGTGACTCGCACTCCCTAGCCACTGCGAGTCAACCTGAAGGTTGGTGGTTAGACGCAAGGGCCGCGGGCCTAAGTGAGGTTTCTCCCTTTCTCTTTTGATTTGAAGAACATCAAATATGGACTATATGGGCATACTACAAAACTAATGAATTGTATTGTGCAAAATTAATGAATGGCATCCTAAATTAACTCTTTGGCTATGTATATGTAGTGCATCCTTATTGATTCTCTACACGAATAGGCTACTTTTATACACAAAATCCATATCTATTGTTGCATTATATCTTGTACATGTTGTTTGTCTTATATAACTTTCTATTGTCGTCAATGGTTAACCCAGCCTTCACCAACTTTATATGTATATATTTTAATTGATTCATAGAGAATGAGACACATTATTTCGTACTCTTTATTACATTGCAATTTTAAGTCCCAATTTTCATTTTATGGTAATATCCATTGAACCCCTTCAAGTGAACACAATAAGTAGTTCTTGGTACACAATATATTTGATCTTGATTATTTTTTTCTTAACATCTAGTTCAACAGATCATTGCATTGGTTTCACGAGTTTATTCTTTTCTCCAAGACTCTTGCATTTTAGTAACAACTTAAGAGTTTTATTGTTGATATGGACTACGTTTTGTGTCTATTGGTAATTGTCATGCATTTTGATGTATATATACAGACTTCTTTAATGCATATATCCAGACCATTTAATACGTGGGCTAATTGTTACTTTTAATTTAATGTGCTGGTCGATAACTACATGGTCCTATGAACATTTTTACCCGACCCACGTTGCCTAGGGTTGATGGGTAGGCTGACCCATCTTGCTAGCTATTTATTACTAGGTTTCAACAATTAATCTCTAATATGTACATTGATTATTGAATAGATTCTGATTGGTGAAGACGAGGAAGTTCAGCAAGTTATATTTGGTAGAGAAACTAATGTTACAGAATATGAAAGAGGAAGAGGTGAATCGATGCCAGATTCAGGAGTGGTATCCAAAGTTCAAATCTGTATCCATCAAGACCTTAATTCATCAACTTCCCGAGTCATTTATTCAGTACCTTCTTGATGACTCAGGGCCCTTCCTGTTACCTGATTCTGTCTTAAACGAAGATGCGTTACCCAATAGAATTCATAATCCGAATGAGGAAGAAGATTTTGAGGTGTCTGAGGGATCTGATGATGAAGCAGAAGAAGGTTCTCCACCACCTTCTTTTCCAGAACTTGAATTGAAAATTAAGGAATCTATTGAGTCCCTTGGCGGTGCCATCTTTCCCAAGCTGAATTGGAGTGCCCCAAAAGATTCAGCTTGGATAAGTACTGCTGTTACGCTTCGGTGCACCAGTTTCAGTGAGATTGCGCTTTTATTTCGAGCATCTGACTCATTGGTCCATGACTTGTGCCATGCGTATGATTCTTGCAATGATAAATCTTTGACTAGACCCCAAAATTTCTTTCTTGCTCTTCGGAAATGGTATTCGTCCCTTCAGCCAGACATGGAATTTCGATGTTTCATACGAGATCAGAAATTAATTGGAATTTCTCAACGTGAGGTTACTACTTTTTATCCTCTTTTGCTTGAAAAGAAGAATGATCTCCTTTTAATGATCCTTGCATTTTTCAACAATCACGTTAGGGCTAAATTTGAGTCAAAAAACTACACGTTTGATGTCTATATTACAAGGGATGAGAGAGTTAAGGTTGTGGATTTCAACCCTTGGGGTGCCTTTACATTACCATTGTTGTTTACATGGGATGAGTTAGAGCATATTCATAATGAAGGAAATGATGTGGAGTTTAGAATTGTGGAAGATCATTGTGCTGTTAGGCCAGGCCTTAAAACAGCAGTTCCATTTGATTACTTGGATACCAGTGCGGGGAGTGGTTGGGATCAATTTATAAGGAATGCAGATGAAGAGTTAAGCCGACAATCTATGGAAGCTGGTGCCTGATAATCAGCTGCTGTTTCTCAATTATTACTTGAGGTAGCAAGTAAAAAAGTAGCTTTTTGAATTTTATTGAGATTATTGACAAATGGGAAAACACATGTTTGAAAGCATTAGGGGATGCATTTTCTTTTTTAACATAAACCTCTCAGTCTTTATGGTTTATAAGTTTTTCTTGATAGAGTCAAACATAAAATATTTTTAGTGAAAAGTACTTTTGTTTGTCATTGTAGGCTGCTACCAATTTTATGTTAAAATTGATTTAGTGCATTACATTATTATATAAATGTCCATTATTTCTACCTAAATGCTTTAATATACGAAAATGCTTTAAGGACCGGTTTCATTCAAATTGTGATTGGATGTTATAGTGGTAGAAAAAGTTTGAAACAATGTTTTTGTGAATGGAGATGAAGAGTAATGCTTGTGAACAAGATTCTTGAATGAAAAAGCAGACTAGATGTGCATGCACTAAATGATCTAAATGTCAGCAAAACTTGTGAACAAACCCATTTGTTGCACTTCGTCATGCCACCAAACCAATTGTGAAAAACTTGATTATGGGTATATGCTGTAACACCGGATCAGCCTTACTTTTCTCTCTCAAACTTGATTATGGGTATATGCATCGGAACATCACATACAAATCAAATGTGATTGTTTATGAAATTTTTGGATGCAAAACATGTTTCAAAGTATAAATTACCAACAAATTTCTAACCTTAAAATAAAATAATACTTAATAAAGATGTTTGAAATGCAATAAATAGAGGTACATGTAGTGTGGCCTGGAAGAAGAAAGTAACCTCGAGGACAATTTTTTTTTTTACATTTTATATTATGAGGGTGCAGAAAAAATTATTGGACCGGAGGAAGGCAGCCCTGGATTACCCATGCCTTCCTACCGAAGATTGAATATCCATGCTCAGTAAAGGACTTCACATTTATTTATATTTTTGCTAAAAACATTTTACAGAATACCTAAGTTTCACACAATGGCAATGTAAATCCACAATTACTAAACAAAAAATAAAATCTACATGCTAACCAAATCCATCGTAGTCACTCTTAAAACATGGCCTAATAGTTTTCTTGGTTTTCTACACCACCTTGGGCTTGTGCTCGAGTTTATGAGTTATGTTGAAGTCAGTGTGGACGAAGGCTCTCTCAATTTCGGGGAGTTTTTCAAGCTTATCTTGAAGTGTCTCTCCAATGTCGTGCGCTTGAGCAAGTGACATTTCTTCTGACACCACAATGTCTACCTCCACAAAGTAATTGGATCCAAACGTGTAGGCCCTCACAGTGTCTATGTGCTTGATCTCCTTGTTATGGTTCCAACAAAGATATGTTAGCTTTGCAAGGAATTCTGGTGGAGCTGTTTTGCCAATCAATGACCACACATTCTCCATCACTGTTTTTGCCCAGTTACTGATTGTATATAAAGCTATCTGCATGCACGTGTAACATTTATTCTGTTTCAATCTTTCAAAATTACAAAATCACATGCTTTTAGTCTCTGGTCAAAAACATTATTTATGCTAAATGTAAAGAATAAAAATTTTGAGAGTCTTAAACAATATAAAGTCATGTTTTAACAGATAATGCATTCAAGCCTTATTTGTGTGATTAAATAAAAGCTAAAGAAAAGAAACATAGATGAAGATACCAGGATGGCTCCAACAGGGTCAAGCCACCAGTAGAATTTGATGGACAGAACTGCAGTGGCTAGACCAATGGAGTTTGTAATGACATCAAAGAAATGGTCCTGAGCATAGGCCCTCACTATTTCATTCTTGAACCTGCGACAATAAGTCATTAGTGCTACTTTTACCAAGGTGGCTGCCACCATTATCCCTATCATCCACTTTTCTTTCACTGGATCTCTCTCAGGTTGAGCCTGTTAGTAAATGAACCATACATTATGCTCGTAACACAGAATCTATCAAGCAATGATAGTTAATTACTTATGCTAATTACTTCACATTTATACCTTTGTGATTATTTCTCTTGCCGATTCAAACAATATTTGCAATCCGAGAGTTGCCATAACTGATGCGAACACAACTATACCCTGTCCAACATATTGAAAGAATTGAGAAAAAAAATTTGAGTATATTGAAATTAAAAACAATATTAACATTCATGAAAAATCTTGTGAGACTAAATGAGCTTAAAAAAGTACTCTATACATAAAGAAACTGATCTAATCCTCAAACTGTGAATGTTCTAAATGAAAAAAAGCAGTTACCACAGGTTGCATCCTGTTCTTGCCAATGGGGTATTGGTGATGATTTGGTCTTCTCATAGCATAAGAAGTGAACCAAAGTATAAATCCTGACAAGAGATCCAAGAGTGAGTCTAGAGTTGATGCAATAACAGCCAGAGATCTACTCTCAATGGAAGCATATACTTTTGCTACAAACAACACCATGTTCCCTTTGTTAGATGCATAGATTGCCACCCTCTCACTCCTTTCAAGTTCCTTCATCTCATCCTGAAAACCAAAATTTCCCATTCACATATGCATCATCAAAGACACCACTTTAACCAATTAAAAGTATAAGGGACAAAAAAAAAAAATATATTTTGGTCATGTATTTCAAAACCTCTGTTAAATTTCCTGGTAACATGCCCAAATCAGTGTATGAGTCCACTTCTTGATACCCTTTAAGAAGCCTCTCCTGCCTCTTGTAATACTCACCTAGTTTCCTTTGTTTCTCTGAGATCATAAACATGCAAATTTCTTACAGAAAACGCAAACAGAATATTAAAAAAAAAGTGCTCAACCGATACACATATATGAGTGTAGTATATATATATACTTAGTGTCCTTATGAAGAATCCAAAGCCAAAATGAGACTCCATTTGCCTTTCTGGTAACCTATGTTCATCCATGTTGATCCTCCATGAAGGTTGCCTGGCCATGGACACATTCTCTGCAGCTATTGTTGGGGACAGAAGCTCAGTCCTGTAATCAGTGGAATCTGTTCGGAGTTCAGTTTCCATGTTTCCTATGCTTCAATTCTAAGCACTTCTGTGCGAGTGTGCTATATATATTTATTAACTAAAGCAAGTGGAGTGGTTACTATAATTTATAATATTAAATATTTAAACTTGATGATTGCAAATGAATAATAATAACAATAATAATAATAATAATTATCTAACAAAAGAAAGCATGGAGAATGCTTCATTGTTGTTCTGGTATGTATCAGATCTTTGTTTAACTAAAATATAATGTTAATAAAGAAATTGACTTTGAGTTGATGTAATCAATGTTAATATGAATGGAATCCAGTTAGGAGCATGTGTGTTGTTCAATGTTGACATATCAAGATTCAATTATTTATTTTTGGTTAAGAAGATTCAACTTTAATTATTAATTAAAATAAAAAGAAGCTATCAATTTCATGAGTTGTTTGTAGTGCAAGTAATTTCTCCTAGATACCAGGAACCACCCAAACTAAGCTAATTAATTAGATTGAAATGGGGTTATTGGAATTAATTTTATTGCTTTTAATAAGCTTCTACTAAGAAAATGAGTTGGTTCATCTAAACAATGGTTACATTTAAAAAAAAAAATACAATTGTTGAAAAATTAAATTATCCGCCATTATATGAACATAACAAAAATATATACGTGTATGAATGTAATAAAACAAACTATAAATTTTTTTTCCAGGACAAATTATATAGATTTATGATAAAATAATAAATAAGAAGTTTCTATATGTGTACAAATTTTAATATGTAAATATTGGTTATTTTAAATATTATTTTAAAAATATAAATAAATATTTTAATATACAGATTTTAATTTTAATATAATAAATTTATGTTTTTGTAAATAATATTTTAAAAAACAAAACATAATTAAATATGTTTTTTACGTTATTAGTTCTGACTCACCTTATTCGAGCAAAATATAGAAAACAAAACATGATTAAATATTTTTTTACCATTCACCTTCATTTTGAATAAATCATTGTATATTTTTATTAAATTTAATTGAATTATTATATGAACTAGATTGTTTTTAATCAAAATAAATTAGATTTGAACAATAGTATATAAGAATTATAGAAATATACAATGATTAATACATAAGTTAACTAAATACTCAAGGTGGATATTTTATTCAACTCATGAAAATTATTAAATTATTTAATAAAAAATAAAATTCAAGTTGAAAATAAAAAAAATGATTACGCTACAAAATAATTTTTATGGATAAAAAAAGCGAAAACGATACTTTGACAACCGGAAAACAAACATTTGTTCGACAACTGGGGCCAAAAATAAATTAATTAAAAATAAGGGTTTGATTAGTAAAATTGTAGGGGTCAGAGATGTAACATTGTAAAAATGGAGGATGTTATGGTAAAAAGTGAAATATATGTTTGAAGAAGGTACAATATTTTTCGCTTGACACATTCTCGCTCGACCTCGCTCGACTTCCTCTCGCTCGACTTAGGGTAAATTTTCGCTTGTCTTCTCCGTTTCGCTCTTCACGGCGCTTGACTTCCTCTCACTTGTCTTCCTCCGTGTCGTTGGAGCTGAACATCACTGTCTGTCGCTTGAGCGACCCTGCGGTGAGTGTTCGTTTAACAACATTTGCTTGATTTTGTGTGTATTTTTTATTGGGTTTCCATTGTTGTTTTATTTTCTATTTATCTTTGATTGGGTTTGTAATGAAGGTGTTTTTCACGGTTTAGGGTTAATTGAGTTGTGATGCTATATTAATGTCGAACAAGTGTTTGATAAAATGCTATAACGAAGAATTGTATTTGCGCATTCTTGCTTTGTTTTCTGTTTATCTTTGATTGGGTTTGTAATGAAAGTATTCTGTAGGGTTTAGGGTTAATTGAGTTGTGATGCTATATTAATGTCCAACAAGTGTTTGATGAAATGCTACAATGAAGAATTGTATTTGCATGACAAACATTTTGTATAATATGCACAAGATTTACACACACGTTTGCATAATTCACAATTTGACCAAAATTATGCGTAACATGGTTGGACTTAATTTTTTTTTTTTTTACTATTTTGTCATTGTAAGTTACAATTTTAATAATTTGTAATAGGATTAGTTTGGAAAAAATGTCTGCAAAAAGAGACCGTCGTGACGAGAAAAAGGTATGTGCATGTTAATTATAGTATTTTTATGAAAAGTGATTTACTAAATATTCAATTTGTTATATGTTATGTATGTTATATATGTTATACATGTTATATGTGCAGATAAGATTAAGACACAAGATTGAGACAGAGTATATAGCTGATATAAATTCAAAGTTGACCAAACACCGAGCAGCTATTGAACAAACTCCGTTTAAATGGCTTCTTCAAATAAAAGAGTCATTGCAAATATCAAGCAATATTATAAGAGAACTAGTTAGTCGATGGTCAGTTAGTGATCATTGTTTTAGAATAAAACAATATCTTGTCCCATTCACCCCTTTAGATGTTTGTTTTTCATTAGGTTTACGTATAAGGGGGGAGGTAGTTGTTTTAGAAGATAGTGGTTCATGTTTAGTAAAAGATTTATTCGACGAAGAAGAACCAATAACAGTAACAAATATAGTTAGGAAGTTGAAAGGAAAAAAAATTAAGCATGTTAAATATGTAGTTGACTTTTGTAGGCTTTATATCTTACTTGGGTGGGCGATTTTTTATTTTCCTCGCACATCCCGCACTGTTCATAGTGTTCCTTTTAGTTTATTAGATGATTTAGAGGCATTAGATAATTATAATTGGGGAAATGTTGTGCACGGTTTATTAGTTAATAGTTTGCATCGTGCTAGTACAAAGTTAAACGAGTAAAAGAATGCTTCTCAATTGTACGTTGCTGGTTGTGTGGCTGTCTTACAGGTAACTTTCTTACAAATGATTGATTTATTAGTTGGTATGAAATTATTGTGACTGATGACATTGTATTATGTAATAGATCTGGGCAGTCGAGCACCTGTCTTTGCCTACTGATCCACCACGAAAGATTTGTTTTCCGCGTTTTGTTGAATGGCCTAAAGTGAACATTCGAAGGTCCAAAATAGAACGTGCATTCATCTCAAACAATGTAAGAAATTTTGTGTACAACATATATAAATTTTCCTTAAAAATGTGGAATTATTATATTATGTTCCTAACATATAAAGTTTTCCTTTATATGTTAGATTGTATGGGATTGGGCACTGTCTGTGGATGATCAGACAATGAAAGTTGTGCAAGAAGTTTTGACGCATTCACAAAATGAGAATACGGACATACCTTCCTCTAGTGGTGCGTCATGTGACTTGCAACAACTTTTATCGGACCAGCATATATGGAGATCTAAAACAGAAGAAAATCAAAAAAGGATCATTCAACTTGAACGTGAAGTTAAAATTTTGAAAGAACAAATCGGGATTCACATGAATAAGTCATCGATAAAGGCGAAGGGGATTGGTGAGGATGATGACATGTATCAATTGTATAAGTTTTGCACCACCAACCTTGATAATCCAAACCGGTTAGTATATAATCAAATTTATTACATTTATTCAATTTAATTAGTATAAAATGCAATGTAATCCATTATTGTATTTCAGTATTGTAGTGGAAGTGCATGGGCAGATATTGACTATGCAGAACTTGCAGACATTAAAGTCAAGGGGTCATATTGACAATATGGTAAGTTTGTTTATTTAATGAAAAAGTGTGATTCAATATATTTTTAAAAATTATATTTATTAATATCATATGGGTTGTTAGGTGATGATGTTTGCAAGTAGTGTAATGATGTATGACCAAATGAATGTCACTAGTGGCAGCATTCAACGTTTTTGTTTCAATCCTTTGTTTGCGGTATGTTTATTGTGCATTTAAAAAGTTAAGTTGCACATAGGTATTGTTAAGGTTCCAACATAAAACCAATTGGCAATATGTGGAGTAGCCTAACATGTATTTAAACCATACCAAATGATATGAGGTAGGCGATGTGGGACTTTCAACACACCCCCTCCAACGAAGCCTGCCGGACCAGGCAAAGGGTACTTTTGACCCAACTAAAGGACAACTTTTGGCCCATGACAATAACCAGAAAGATGTTAGGCTTTGGCTCTGATACCATGTTAAGGTTCCAACATAAAACCAATTGGTTGTATGTGGAGTAGCCTAACATGTATTTAAACTATACCAAATGATATGAGGTAGGCGATGTGGGACTTTCAACAGGTATATTATCATTGATTGTCATTTATTTTTGTGCCTTTTGATAGACACAAGTGATTGAACAAATGTATATTCGCAAAGGGAAAACATCGACGTGGACAATGAAAGACTTCTCACTTTTCTATCCAAATACAATTATTCCATTGCAGCAGTTATTGAGTTGTGAACTTGTGAGTATTTATACTTTGCCTAAAATTTATATTTTTGTCAAGATAAAATTCAATTAACCAGAGTTTTTTCTATTTCAGATCTTTGATCCCACTGTACACAATGGTCATTGGTGGTGTTATGTGCTGAAATGTAAGGATGGAGAACTGTTTATATTAGATTCATTGGGCCATGATAATAGATCACAAAAACCAATTGATAGAGCTATGGTAAATATTTGTTTTAAGTTGTTTACGTAGGTAATATAGTTAATTCAGAGCTATGTTTATTTGGCGAATAATGTAATATTGTGAACAGTTGCAATGTTTTGAACATCTATTGTCGCTGTTGGAAACAAAGTCATCGAGGACCACTGGAGAACTTAAGGTTACAAAGGAGGACTTGCCAATTCAACCAAACATGTTAGTATGTTATTATAGTTGAAATTTTGTTTGCAAAATGTTGTATGTAATGTGTGTAATAACTACATTCAATTGTGCAGGTATGATTGTGGATTGTTTGTTTTAAAATATATGGAGTTGTGGGATGGTGTGAGCAAAGTGAATGGGAAAAGCATGCCTCATTACACATCGATAAACATTAAAGTCATTGTATTATTGTTTTGTTTTTTATTACTATGAATATAA